TTAGTGTCCCTTTCTATGATACTCATAACAGTTCTTCTCTAAACTAGATAATATCAAAGTAAACGAAACCTGAACAAATAAGGCCCAAAACATGTCTAGTTATCCCTAGAGCAATGGATTTGCCTTCACTAAATTTTGAAAAATCTCTAAAATATTAATTAAGTCTATTTAAGAAGAGTATGTTGTTTTATAATCCAAACCATAAAACAAAGATATTTAAATGAGGGTAGAGCCTCTAATATCAGGAGATGCTACTTTATCTAACTATAAAATACTTTTTCGATTTAAGAATTTTCTTTATATTATTTGCCTCAATGTGACTAGAAATCTTGGATTCCTTCTTGTTTTCCAAGCCACCCAAATGCCCTTTACAATTCTCATATCTTAAAAAATAATTCGAGATACTTCTTCATTGCCTCATTTCTTGACAATTTATTTGCATTAGTGAACCCCTATTGGAAGCAAAAGCATGAGTAATATGATGGTATAGGTTTTAACATGCAAATTCTCGCCAATCGGGTGGACGTGCCGGAGTGGTTATCGGGCATGACTAGAAATCATGTGGGCTCTGCCCGCGCAGGTTCGAATCCTGCCGTTCACGTTTACTTAACTTTTTTCCCTGTTGCTTTTCCTCTTTTCTTCAATCGTCTTTCCCACCCTCTTCCAGTTCTTAAAATGCATTTTTCTCCGACGAAAAGCGGCGGCTGCGGCGATCAACACTGACGGAACTCAACTGAATGCTAATCAACAACATTCTAAAACAATGCAAAACCATCAAACAACTTCACCAACTCCATGCTCACACCATCTCGTCCGGCTTTCTCTGCCTCCACCCTCACCAAAATTTAACCCAAATCCTTCACGCTCTCACCGCCCTCCTTCCAACCACCGCGCCGGAAAACACCCCGCCTTCTACAACTCTGTTGTCTTATGCAGTCTCCATCTTCCATTCTATTCCGAGCCCATCGACCTTTTGTTACAATAATGTCATCAGAGCCCACATCCTCCTCTCCTCCCCTCTCAACGCCCTCGAGTTCTTTACCCGAATGCGCCGCCTTGCTCTCCTTCCCGATTTTCACACCTACCCTTTTGTTCTCAAGGTTTGTTCCCATCTCCGCCTGCGTTCCTTGGCCCAGTCGATTCACACACAAGCATTGAAGTTCGGTTTTGTTGCTGATTTGTTTGTTTTGAATTCCCTTATTCATGTTTATTCGGTTATTAATGGCATTATTGATGCGCACAAGGTGTTTGATGAAAGTTCTGTGCGGGATGTTGTTTCTCATAATTCGTTGATTGATGGGTACGTGAAGCTTGGTGATTTTGCGCAAGCTCGCCAACTGTTTGAGGATATGCCCATGCGAATGCGAGATGCTGTTTCATGGAGTACACTCATAGCAGGGTATGCCCAGCGGAACCATGGGAAAGATGCTCTTGAGCTCTTCAATCATATGATGGGTTTTGGTCTTCGCCCTGACAATACCGCTCTGGTTTCTGCTCTCTCTGCCTGTGCGCAATTGGGAGAATTGGAACAAGGGAAGGGAATTCATAGTTATATTAAACAGAATAGGATACGACTGGATTCTTTTTTATCAACTGGATTGGTGGATATGTATGCAAAGTGTGGATGCATTGAGATTTCTAAGGAGATCTTTGAATCAAGCAGTGATAAGAACTTATCTACATGGAATGCCATGCTTGTTGGGCTTGGAATGCACGGTCAAGGACAGCTGTTACTGGACTATTTCTCGAGAATGACGGAGGCAAAGGTTGAGCCCGATGGGGTAACCTTCTTGGGAGTCCTGGTGGGTTGTAGTCATGCAGGTCTAGTTGATGAAGCACGCAAGCTTTTCAATGAGATGGAAGGAAACTACAATGTCGGTCGGGAGCTCAAGCATTATGGATGCATGGCTGATTTGTTGGGAAGGGCTGGTTTGATCAGTGAAACAATGGAGATGATCAAGAACATGCCGATGGATGGTGATGTATCTGTCTGGAGTGGTTTGCTTGGAGGATGTCGGATACATGGGAATGTTGAACTTGCAGAGAAGGCAGCTGAACAAGTGATGGAGTTGAAACCCGAAGATGGTGGGGTTTATTCCATCATGGCTAATGTTTATGCCAACTTGGAGAGATGGGAAGATGTAGTGAAGATCAGGGGATCCATGGATTCCAACAGGGCCAAGATAAAGAAAATGGCTGGGTGGAGCTTGATTCAATTGAATGGGGTAGCACATGAGTTTGTTGCTTGGGATTGCTTGCATCCTCAAACAGATGAGATATACTCTGTTCTTAATGGAATCAGAGTACATCAATTTGAAGCATATGCCAGCCTTCCTACTGGGGAATAGAACATTGGGACCGTAAAAGAAAAAGAAATAGGAGGAAAATTTACCTCAGGGAAAGTGTTGCTTCTTGAGGCTTCTATGGGAAAGGTGTACAACAGGTATTGGCGACACCTGTCATCTCACTTGAACGTGGCTCCAGAAGTCTCTCCTCTCGTCTTTGGGTCCCTGGAACCTGGCATATATATATATACCAGGAATTCATACTTATCTTTCACCAAGTAAAACAAGCCGCAAAATCAATCAAAGAATCTATTTTCTGGGTTTCCAATCCTATTGATCTCTTTCTTGGGCTGGTTTATCTTCTGTGACCCTAGGTGCACCAAACCATGGCAGCATTCAGGACAACTGTAAGTAGTTCTTCTTTCTTCTTCTTGGCCTTTGACCATGATAGTTACATAATCTTTCATGGGATTAGAGCTTGAGAGATCAAATTAGGGATCTCAAAGTTGGGTGGGATTCAGGGGAAGGACCGTTGCTACCTTACCTTCCATAATAACTCACAATAAGTTGTACTAGGAACTCTTATTGTTGTTTCTTCTAGCTGGTTTCTCATGGAGTTGCTATGTGATTGCAGGGTTATTTGAAGCAGCTAGCTAGCCGCTTAAGAGAAAGCGCGACATATGCCACTTCAACCCAACCAAAAATGAAGGCATATGCCCCCACAGCTGATTTGGGGTATGTGGAAGAAAGCAGTCATGTGAAAAAAGCACGGAAGGGGGACTTCATCCCCGTCTATGTGGCAATGGGGATGATAGCACTGTCAACCACCCTGGGGCTGCGCACGGCGTCGCAGGAGCTGATGCACTCGCCCCAAGTGCGCGTTAAGAAGAAGCTGAGGGAGACTGTGCCGGAGGTGGAGGAACCCGACAGGATAATAAATGAAGCTGATAACTTCATAAAGAAATCGTTTTTCAGGAAGGTAGCTCACATCCGGGATTTCCACCATAGTCAGCCGGTTCCAGATACCATCCAGAAGGATTGTTTTGTTCATATGAAGCGTAAGGCTGAAACTCTGAAAACTGTTGGTGTTGATCCCAAACGTCGTGTCCTGGATCATTGATAAGCGTGATCCTGTTTCCTTTCCCCAAAAAAAATAAAAAAAAGAAGGTTGTTCTGTTGCCTTTACTCTCTGTTTTCAGTTTTACCCTTTTGGGTACATCTTAGAAAAGAGAGGATGAAGGAAATAATTTCTGGATTGTCCAGGAAACATGATTGTAAATAGAATAATGGTTTGGTTGGTATGATGGTGTTTGTCATCTTTTATGAAATACAAAATCAGGTGGATAAGGATGGGACCACGACCATGACGGTCTTCATGGATTGTAAAAAA